CCCCTATCCTATTCTGAAAACAGCTTGAGACTGGCATGCAGCGCAGACAGATGTTACAGAAGATGCTCTGCTTTGAAATGTCTTCATCTGATCCCCATGCTATGCGGGGTCAGATTTTCACTGGATCGGCCATTTTTTAAACTGTTTGCAGCTGTGTACTTGTGTTTGGTCATGGCTATAAACTGCTTTCTGTGGCCAGACCGGGCAAAAATTGTCACTTCTGTCTCTGCCCTCAATGCTACCCATGTCTGTAGGGAGTGAAATGTGTTCTGTGGACACCAGGTGGGGACCTAAGTAAAGTTTGGGCAACTCCCAGCACAGACCTGGATCAGAACACAATTTAGGCATGAATTATGTACCTTGGCATTGAATCTGGATTGACAACATGATTGTACACAAGCCTAAGAAATCTAAGTGTGCTTTCAGGCCCGAAAGGTGGAAGTAGTTAATGATTCAAGTTATGTAAGCAATTTTATGGAGTTTTAACTGGAGTGGGTTCAATCTGGCTTTTGTTATTTTTTTGTTTTGTTGGTGGGGTTTTTTTGTGGCTTAGGTGCCTAATTCCACCCAAGTCCCATTTAGACACTTTTATAAGAATGATTTGGATTGGGTCCTAAGTTACTTCTGAAAATGGGACCTAAATGTTTATGAAACATTTCTGTGAACAATTCTCCAATCTGTGGTGTGAGTTAATCAATTACATTTTTGGCTTTACATCACTATCACTTTGATGTGTTTCTTAGAGATGATTAGTTTTGGTCTTAATGAAAATACTGTACTTAGAATTTTTGCATGTGTTAATCTGGCAATTTATAGGAACAATATTTGGTTCAACTTTAGCAAGCCAGTTAGAGGGGTTATTGAATGGAAGATTTTTATGATTCTCCGTATTTCCTATTAGCTTTCAAAGTGAGCCATTAGGCACTTATGACAACGATACGTTAGATCTCCAGTCTCTTAATTGGAGGATGTTAAATGGATTTCTCAGTAATGTTTATCCATTGTACCCACAAAGCACTCACACTCTCTCACTTTATCTTGTTCTTTAAGACTCAAGACCACTTTTGTCAGCAAAGCTTGGACTTACAGGAACAACAAATCCTTACCAGCCTTGCTTAATACACTAATTAGCAATATAACAGATGTGTCAGGTGTATAATGCCTGCTAGTATTAACACAAAAGATCATATGCAGGTTAATGGGTGAACAAGAATTTCAGTGAGGTTCTGCCTACTCTAGCCAAGTGAACTGGTGATATAAGAATAGTTATAATGTATGTACTTACAGTGTAGCTGTCCACGGGAAACTGTATTATACCACTGAAGTTGTAGCACCCTCTGGGTATCTAACCCAGAGTTCCCAGCACAATACTCTGAAGCAGTGCCTTTTGAGACATTTTAGAAGATTGTCCTGTAGGAATCCACAGGAATCATGGGAAAATTCATCATACTATGCATTTCCTTGAGGAAGTCTTTATTACTCTTTGAGTGCCAAAGCTATTTTTAAGAACTTTTTTTTCTAAGATAGAGACCAGGAGAAACATTTAGCTTTTCACTCCCTTCTCAGCCAGAGGACATTGTGCTGGAGCTATGGAAAATCTTCCAGATGACCTCTGAGATGGCCACAACGAGATACTGCAGGGTGCTCTGCAGGCAGAGGTACTCACGCTGAGCAGAGGAGTAGGTGGAGCTTTTGCAGAAACAATCACACATCCCCTGTTTCCTCAGGAGTAGGGGATCCCTAAGCACAGTGTTGACTGGGAGCCTCTGCATCCAAACATGCAACACTTATTACAGTGATTATGCTTCCATGGGCATGTGGATGCATTTGGCATTTTGTGTGGGCCCTTAAAAGGGCCTGTGACGTACAATGGATCTCTGGCACTTGGGGGCCAATGCTTGCATTTGCACCCGCCCCCCCTTCCCCCCCCCTTCTCATAGCAATACTTAAAGTCTCCCACCCCCAGCCCTGGTTGGTTATCTGTTTTGGCCAGGAACTAAATGAAAGTCCCAGCACACCGGACGCGGGGGGAGGGGTGGTGGCTGGAATGTCTGGCTGGAACAGGTAACTAAACATCCAACCCACAGGGCAGGCCACACAACAAACACGGCTGCAGCCACCACCGCTGGCTCTGCAGGCTCCCCTGCGGCCACAGGTTTCTCTGAAGGGCCCAACTGGTGCCTCCTCCAGGCCAGCGCCCAGGAGCCGTGGCCCCTTCCTGCCCCCTCTGTTGGTCCACCACTGAAAAGGGCACTGCTTTAGAGTAGCCTACTCCATCATTTGAGATTTCTCTTCACTAGCTGAAGTACTCTGCTTTTGGACCAGAGGGGGCTGCAGACTGGTAGGTCTCATCATTCTCAGTCAGGCGCAATAACTTCAGTTTAGGGACCTACCAAATTTGAGGCGCCTGCCCCCCAATTTTGCAGGCAGAGTGTGGGGCTGGGCAGCCATTTCATGACTGAAGTGTGGCACCCCGTGCCCCCCCCATGCCCCTGATTGTCCTTCACCGCTGATTGACTGAGGGCTGTCTGTCATGTGGCCCCACCCCTCACCACCAATTGGTGGAGAGGAGCAGAGCCACATGACAGGCAGCCCTTGCAGGCGATCAGCTGTGAGGGGTGGAGGCAGAAGCCATCTTGCCAGCAGCCCTTTGAGCAGGCAGCCCCCTTGCTCCCTCTGGGGAGCCAGCATTTTATTTTCAGTAAGTTTTCTTGTGTTTTTTCCCCCATGGATTTCGTATTGCCCACTCTTGTGGGCAATGCTGGATTTTGCAACATCCACAATTTCAGTAGGTCTCTAGTTGTAGTGTAGAAGCTAAGGCTGAGACCCATCTGTGCCCCACTCTCCAAATCCAGGGAGTCATTTCCAAAAAGAGGTACTTGGTCAGATTGCAGGATGTGGCAGGCCATCGTAGGAAGCAAAGTGCAGTGTTAGAACTTTCAAAGCCTCTGGACTTCTCAGGAGTGCATAGAGGGGGAGTCTATTTCTATCACATAATATCAGTATTAACGGTGTCTCCATCCTTTTGCAATTTGAGATGACTCTGCTCACTCATTTTTCGCCATGTGTAGTGAAACCACTCTCAGATTACAAACACTCAGAGAGGCCCCAAAAGATACAAGGGCAAACAGAGGTGAAGTGGGCTTTTAGGAGACAAAGTTGGATGGAAAAAGCCACTGCCCTCAAAATTAATTCAACGTTTAATTTGGCCACTAGACCCTCTGCCTTGTGCTTTTTGCAAAAAAATGTTCAAAACAAAAATATGACTTTTTTTGACCACTGGAGTGAGAAGGCAGAGGGACTTGCATCAGCCTAGTCCAACAGTTAGTCCAATAAATGGACAACCTCAGTTACAGTAAGCAGCATCTTGGACCCTTCTCCTATCCTGCAGCAAAGGAAGAAGAAGCCTGTTATGGTACCCCAATCAGAACTAAATTGCCCAATTCAGTTGTTGGAGGAGAAGATAAATATGTTCTATGGCACCCACTAATTTCCAATCCTGGGTGGCTTCAAAAAGTCTGGGGCTTTGGTGGGGGGAGGGGGGCTGTTTAGTATTATTTTGATACCAACTTGTATTGAGCTTAATTTAAAAGGTCTCATATATTTCATTAAATTATTTCAAAGTCTGTTTTAGCAGTATTAAACATCAATCAAGTGTAATTTTCAAAATGTTTTTTCTGTCTTTCTGTTTTAAAAAAAAAATCAAAGTTGGCAGAGCCGCTGAAGACGCTTGAAATTCTAGAGGAGAATATAAGCCACAGAAATTATTTCGGTGCAGCCAGAGAATTAAGAAAGCTGCAGCAAAAGATCAAAAATATCCTGGATGACTGGATGGAGTATTATCGAATGGCTTTGGGTCAGTCACAGCAGGAATAATTTGGGGGGCAATTTTAATTTTAGCTTTTTATTTTTTAGATTTTCAATTTTAGTCAACAGGTATTGTGACAAACAAAATAGCACCAGGCCTGTCTTTTGTGTTCTTCGTCTTATGACAGATTTTTATACAGCCGCATACACCATTGGCTTTCTGACTTTAAAATACTGTGCACTGAAATGCACAGAAAGCTGGAAGGGCTTTTACTCACGCTAGTAAGCAGTTACTCACATGAATACTGCAAAGTCAGTTCTTTGTACACACCACAAAATTGGCCTCCAAAGTGGCTTAAATGCCCTTTTGCACTGCTTTAATGGCATTGCTGTTTGCACATTCGGAGGCGTATTCTGATTTAATGGTGTTGCTGTTTGCACGCTCGCTTTAAATGACTTTGTAATATAGCAAGATATAAAACCTCCGAGGTGTTTTAGTTTACTACCTAACAAAGTGCAACAGTGCATGAGGCACTGGAAGCTAACATGCTCAGGGCTTGGTGGGCTTCCAGCACCACTGCCACCTTCTCCTGCCACCAGCAAATCCTCCTGCCACCTTACCACCCTGCAAGCCAGCCGTTCATGGGTGATCCCAGGTGGCGGGGTGGTGCAGGAGTGCTGGAGCTTACCTGCTTCTCCCACAGCGAGGGAGAGGGGGTGAGCTGCTGCTGGGTCACACAGCCCCTGAGCTGCAGGGGACCACGGTGCTTTCCTCCATGGTGGTGGTACCCCCCAGGTAGCACCTGCCCATTGGCACCCGGCTCAGGTGGTCCCGGGGGGGTGCCACAGCCATGGGGAGAAGCACCAGGTCCCACGCAGGTCAGGGACTGTGTGACCTGGTGGCAGCCCATGCAGGCAGGTAGGCTTGACTGAAGAAAAAAAAAAAAGCGGTGAGGAGCCTGATCTTTTTATTTTCTCCTTGAGCCTGCTTGTCTGCCTGAGCTCCGCAGAGGCTCGATACTTCCCTCTGCAGCTGCAGGGGAGCTGGTGTTTCCCTCTGTCGCTGTGGTGCCCCCCAGGACCACCTGGGCTGGGTGCCAGCAGGCAGGTGCCACCTGCGGGGCACAACCACTGCCACGTAGGGAAGCACTGGGCCCCTGTGTAGGTCAGGGACTGTTCGGCCCACCGGCAGCTCACCTCCCTGCCCCCACTGCCGGAGAGGCAAGTAAGGATTGGGGCTCCACCCTTGTGTACACACCACTGGGGTTTAGTTCAGTTTAATTCTCCCTAAATTGAAACTTGAGACTTGTGGATGGGTGAGGGAAGAAATAAGTTCTGGAAAATGTGAAGAAAATATATCCCTCTAATGAATTTATGTTGAAGCTAGTTTTTCATATATGTTTGCTATTACATTGATTACATTAGAACTAGAAATGAACATAACTTTTGTCTGAGCAACATTCATGTCTAAGCTTAAGGCCACTATACAGACTGAAACCCACCTGATTATTTATTTTGGGGCATCTACATGAGATGCCTTAATGCACAGTGAACTGTTCTACTGAGCATTAGCATGTCACAGAAAAAAACATGCTAATGTGCAGTAGAATTAGTCAGCTGTGCATTAAGCATCACAAAAAAAGTTTGCCTTTGCTACTGTGCATTAGTGCAGCTACTGCGCCTTTATCTAGTACCTCATATTAGACGTACTAAACTTAATAAGCAGAAGCAAAGGCACATTAATGAATGTGTAGACATGCCCTATGAGAACTTTATGGAACTTAAGTGATAAACAAACCTAAAGCTGACGCTTTCATAAGTGTGATTTTCCACCCAGTGAGCACTGACAAATATACCAACCACATCAACCATTTTCTTCTGGTTCAAAAGAACTGCAATGCCTGTTTTTATATCTTCTCTAATTGATTTGCTCTAAAGAGAATAATAATTCCATAATATTAGAACCCTCTTACTGGGATTAAGTCCAAGGGGCATAATGATATTCATTACTTTTCTCTCTTATACCTTGTCAATGCTATTGTCAACACTTGTGATTTGCTCCATAACTGATGAACTAGGAACCAGTCCAGCAAATCTTCCATTTGATAGAGTTTATTTATTAAACCCTGCTTCCCCTGCCCTCTATAGTGATCTCTACTACATTAACCCCTCCTGCATGCTGAGGGCACACTTCTCAAATATCCAGGATCAAGGAGAAGTGGAAATACATTTCTTCATGGGGTAGCTCTGTTATCTTAATTTTCATACAGAATGCACAGCAGAAAATTTCCACTTATAGACACATGAGCACAGTCAGTTGCAAGATCAGGGGTTAATGCTTGTTTCTGTCTCCTAAGGCTGACTTCACTGGTGTCATGGTGCTCTTCTATTTCAGGAACTGACTCAGACATTCACAAAATGCCTGATCTTACTCCAAGAACCTTAAGAAAATGCCAGAATCAGTCTGTACATATTCCCTTGGCTAACTCAACTGTATGGAGACCACAGGAAGAGAGGAGAGAGGAGAGTACAGCTGCCAAGTCAGAAAGCCCACTTCTGCTGGATTGTTTCCAGTTAGCTCCTGCTTGCAACATGCAGTGGGAGCCATCACCTTATTCTCCAAGGTAAAAAAAAAGAAAGGAGTTACTTTCTCTCTGTCCACTGAAATAGTTCTATTATGAGCACTTAATTGTACAGTCTGGTGAATTTTAAATTATTTTTCATTAAGCTTAGATATTAATGACTCAGAACCAGTGTGTACTCCCGTTGTGATCTTGGAAAAACAACAACAAATAGTGGCAGAAAAATCAGGAGAGGTTTGGAAAGGTGGTCAGAAGCAATGCTGAAATATAATTTAATTGAATAACAGTATATTACAACAATATGTGAAAAACTTAGTTCAGAAGTGATGCCTTTACAAGATGATGTGGTATCACTTTACTCATTGATGTGCGCATGCACAGATGTATACATGCACACATGCATGCACCACCCCTTGACCTGAATCTTATATTCTAAAGCCCCAATCCTCCAAATGACTCCTTATAAGCAAAGTTACCTTGCATGCAAAGCCTGAAAAAATTTGAGTCCTACTTTCCAAGGCTTTGCCCAGGGTAGTAGTATGTGACTTCTGTCTCACTGGAATCACATAATTATAAATCCGAGAAATTAATGTGTTAGTTTTTATTCTCAGTCCTGGGGTCGTCTACATGTGGCCATATAGCGTCATTACTGCCCTGTCTTTTAGTATTTCCTTTTGGAACTATTAAATGATGGCATAGTAACAGCCCATACTGCACTGTGGCAGTTGCACATGGTTATCTTTAGCTGCTATGTCACTGCAACAGCACACTATAATGAGAGAGTGAGTTGCTACAGTGACATAGTTGCAGCATCACAGTTTTTGTCAGTCAATGCTACATTGCCATAGCATGTTGCTACAGCAATGTAGCATCACGTGTAAATGCGCGTGGTCTATTTTCCTCACCCTTCAGGAATAATTTTAAGTCTTTATATAGTTCTGAATCTTTTATTATCACCATCTAAATCATTGCTTTTATGCCAAGAGGTGATTTATAATAACAGCATTAACAATTAAGTGAAAACTGACTTGACCCATAAATAGGTAACAGGTGCATCTTGGTCCTACAGAACATACATCTGTATTGTTTTCCTGATATTTAAGCTATCACTTATTTGGTGTTTTATTCTTTGCAGAGTTTCCACGTTACTAACCAGCAGTATCAATGTAGATGCAACACATGTGACTCAGTTCAATTTAAATAAAAGCACACTTATATTACAGAACTTCTACAGTTCATGGTAAGGAAATCTGAGCAGAAGCTGGACAATGATGATTCTAATACAAACAGTAATCAGTGTTTTACTGACATCTAATTTTTGGAGCTGGCTAAGAGTCAAATATGCACTATGTGTATAATCCCTGTGATTCTACCGCATTACTTAATATTGCATTATAAAGCATTAAGAATATTAACTGTAAATGGATGTAATTCACAGCTGTCAAACATGTTGTCTGCAGAGTCTAATAACAGGAGAATGATATGACATTGTGTTGCTTCATCCTCTGGGGATCTGATGCCTTGCTCTCAGATCTGAGTTTCCATTAGCTGTTTCCTTAAATCAGACTTGCATTTGTTAATACCCTCTATTCAATACTCATTATGTGATATATAAACTCAGTAAGTCCCTAAAATGGGCAAAGAATACAAAGGAGCAATGTATTCCAATTTACAAAGCAGCCTATAATTCCATCTGCAAAGTAATGATTAACTCAGGACAGGAAAGCTGAAACAGTTTTCTCTTGCCTCTAAGAATGCCAAAGCAGAACTGTAGCCCTGTTTTATGGATATGGTATACAGTTAAATTGCCAGATCCATCTTTAGATAGGTAAGCAACAATTACATGACTACCTTAGCTATGCAAGTAATATTTTGGGCCACAGACTAGGCAGGGTGAAGAGTACCCTATACCCAGCCTGTTAAAAGTTGGCTTACCTGGCAGCCAAGGCAAGAAGATATGTAGGGACAAGAAAAAACATCCGAGGGAGCCTGATCCTGTCTCAGGGAACTGGACATTGTCCTGGGTCTATTAATTGAGTCTACTCCAGTGCATGCTAATTAGTGCGACAGGGGACAAACTTGAGGCCGGATCTCAAAGCGGTCCACCCACCTGCCTAGGGCAGTCTCTTCTGACTCGCCTGCCATGACTTGATTGTTAACTTGATTTATTAAGTGGGAGGCTGCCCATTCCCTGCCCTGATGCCAGGAGGCACTATCCATGGCTCTGAACCTTCCCTATACCACAGCCCATGCCTCGCAGATGGTATCCTGTTTATGATTGCTCCCTGGTCTGAGACTGGAGCAAACTCAGTCCATAGTTGGGCTCCATTCATTCTCATATTCATTCTGCACCCTGCTCTCACAGGAGGCCTCTTGCACTCCACCCCCCTCACAGGGGCCTCTGGCATACCGCCCATTACTGGGACACACTCCATTGCCCTTGCTCCTCTTGAGTGGCCCCTCTTGGGCCATCAGGCTTTGCTACTTGCACACTGGCCCTACCATGCAGTCCTTTGGTTCCCCCGAGTTCCCCTACTCTACATAGCCTAACCTTGTTCCAAACCTTGGACTGATTCTGCCTGAAGCCCCTCACCGGGCAACTGCTCTCATGCTCACACTTCTGGGGCTGGCCCATGTACTGTCCATCAAGATGCTTTCACAGCCCTACTCAGTACGCCCCTGATGCAGTCCTTCAAACCACTCTCATAACCCTACTCTGCACCCCAACACACTCAGTCCTTTAGATGCCCCTTATTGCACCCTACTCTGAGAAGGCCCTCACACTACACTCCACAAGCTACCCTCTCTGGGGCCTCCAGGATCTCACATCCCTGTTGGACTCAAGTTTCTCACTACTAATGCACCTGGCCCCCTTTGCTCCCCCTGCTCACACTATTACCATCAAGGAGGTTCATGGTCCTGGCACTTCTTGGGGGCTCCCCCACCACAAGGAGCCCCACCAGGCCTCCCTACCTTGGCAGGGTGCAGTTTTAGGTCATGCCCAGGACCAGGAGCCTCCAAGCCACCCCCTAGGTCCTACCCTTACCTCCAGAATGGTCTATGCCATGAGGGAGCTGGATGGTACTGCTCCCTTGATTGCAAGCAGCCAACTACTGGCACTGCCTGGCTAGCCTATGTTTGAAAATGCCCGCCCTCATCAGGCACCTGCCAGCTGCCTGCCTTAGTCCTTAAAGTGGCAAGCACCCGAAGGTGTGCTGCTACAATTAGCACACATTGGAGCATGCACTGGGCATATATGTAGGTACCTATTGGCTCCAGAATTATTTTTGCTGCCTTTACCAATCTTAGAAAGAATTTGCTCCATGTGAAGAAATTATGTTGTGGGGATACCATTGTGCAGATTGGTATGGTAGGTTTTTAGCTGAAATTATGTAGAAGTCTATAGTGGAGATGGGGAGATAGTACTGTATTTTCTAACATACAACATGTCTTGGAATAAAATATGCCCCTTGATCTGGGGAAGGCAGAATGAAGAAAAAAAAGATTTTTCTAAAGTTATAGCTGCATAGAGCAAGGACAGAGTTAAAAGGTCTACAAGACAATGAAATAGGAGAGAGACCAGGAGACGCTAGCAGACCCCAACATTGCCCTTAAAAAGGCTACCTTGATTAGTGGAATGTCAAGATCAGTTAAAGGAGATACAACTGGTAACACCTGTAAAGTGAAGAACAGCGAGCTATTAAGTCAACTGACTCCCTCATTTGCCTGAAAACAGATGCCACTGCTGCTGCTGAGCAGTTGATTTTGGAGCACAAATCAAAGTAGAGTACTTTTATTCTGGGCAAAAGAATCAGCCTTCCTGTTTAAGATATATACCCCAGTGTGAGAGGGGAGACAGGAGCCCCCCCAGTGTGGCCCGGACCCCTAACCAGAGCACCATGACACTCACCGTAAGAGCCAAGATGGGTGGCAGTGGGGAGAAGACCGGAGCACAGATGCTGGCACAGCCGCAGGCTCAGTAGTTTCACAGGTGCCTGAGCCTGTGTATTGGGGAGAGCCTGGGGAGTGGCCTCCGAGCAGCACGGGCTGGTCAGAAGGTGGCCAGAGAAACAGCTGGGGGAGAACCAGAGAGAGAGAGGTGGAACACCAGCTGAGAGATGTCGGCTCAGGAGCCGGGAGGCTCCAGTTTTAGCCCCAGCTTCCCGGAGGAGGCAGCCATCCAGCAGGAGACCAGCAAGGCAGAAGGCAGGTTCAGGGGTCAGCAGGAGCCAAGGAGCCCCGCTGGAAGGCAGCAATCAGGTGGGATGCTGCTGGGGAATTGCAAGGCTCTGACTAGGAGCCCTGGAACTGGGACTGAGGGCAGACCCTCAAGTCCGCAATCATCCTTGGACGGCTCCAGAGGGGGCAGAGCACAGGGAACCATGAGCCCCAGGAAAGGGAAGAGGAGTGATGCCAGCAAGAGGGACCAGGGCAACGGGACCCCAGGTCAGTTGGGCTCCAGGGTGGGGACGCCGGAGGAACTGGTAGGGACAGGGCACAAGGGTGGTCCCAATACCCTTGCCTATTAGAGGGGAGAAGACGAACAAGTCCCCTAGGAGGGGGAAAGAAAGGAGCCCCAAAAGAGAGAAAGAGAAAGGCAAGCTCGGGAGCTCCACTGGCAGGTGCTGGCATTTTTGGTTGAGTTGTGAATGACCCCAGCAGGGGCAAGTTTATTTTTCTTGAAGAGGGGAAAACCAGCCTGAAAACCAGGGGTGTCCCCCTGAAGGTTCACGGCAAAGAAGACCCAGCCCTTGCAAGGTGGGCAGTGTAGGGAAGATCTGCGGGGAGCAGCATCAACCCAGGCCGAAGGCATGGTAAGGGTGGGGTAAAGGGGAGGTTTGGAGCCCCACAAAGACAACCCCAGGGTCGAGACCCCTCTGGGCCCCCAACAAAGAACTGCCTCCCCAACTAGTTACACTGAAGACTTGGCAGGTGAGAAAAAGGGGCAGCGCCCAGACCATCTAGGTAGCACCGGAATAGGGTTTCATCCTGACATTGCTGGGAGGCAGGGCACCCACGACGAGGTCCCCAAAGTGTTACAATACTTACCAGCAACACCCAGTTGGGGGGGGGGTGATTTTTGGTGAAAAGGTGCATGTACTATATGAGAAAATATGGTACTTTAGTACTGTAACACTTCTCCAAGAAATAACTTTGCATTTCTACAGCACATCTCATCCAAGAAAAATCAAAGGACATTTCAAACATAAACTAAGTTTAACAAGACTTGGAGTAGATGGATAACACTAGCACCTACATAATCCATTGTCTAACCTCTGTGACTAAAATGATTAAAACATGAATGTGCTACAACTTACTATACAAAAGTAAACCATGGCAATGAGACCTTCAGATAACTGGGGAGACAGACCAGCAGACTCTGATGCCTTCCTGCAGGGCTGAAAAGTTTTCAAAGTAGAGATGCACCAATACATCAGTACAATATTGGATCAGTACCCATATAAAGAAAATTGGATGCATCAGAAATCAGCCTGATGGGTCTGATAATTGAGCTGATAAATGCCTATGCATGCACGCAGCTGCAGCACAGCACTGAAACAGCGAGGAGCACAGCCCAGCAGCATGAAGTGTTGCCTCCAGCTGGTAAGTCTGTTGAGGTGGTAGGGGAAAGGGGGAGGGAAGGGGTATGAGGAGGGGCAGATCAACGCCTCCCCACCCCCATGGTGAAGGAGGGGACAGGGACAGGGGCAGGCGCTGGGGCAGGGACAGGCGCTGCCCAGCCAGGGTGGGGTGGGGCACGAGACAGACCCATGGCTCATCAGGGGGGCAGCTCCCACAGCTGTGTGCACTCCAGGAAGTGCACACGTGTCCCCAGATCAGCCTGGAGCTGGTGCTGCGCTGGGCTGTTCTCGCTGGGGGCTGGGCTCAGGGTGGGGCCTATGGAAGGGGCTGCAGCCACTTCAAATTTTACTGTAGCTCCCAGCGCCACTGCATACCTGGTGCAGCCCTGGCTCTTCCCGGCTCAGCCGCCACCTTACCCCATGCACCGGGAAGAGCCAGAGCTACACCAGTCACATGGTGGTGGCAGCACTGGGAGGGAGCTATGGCAAAATCTGGGGTTGTTGCAGCCCCCTCCATAGCCACTGCCCTGAGCTCAGGCCCCAGTGAGAAGAGCCTGGTGCAGCCCCGGCTCCAGTCTGCAGCTGCGGCCTGCCTGCACAGATCTGGGGGGCATCCTCCTGTGCCCTCCAGGGGTGCACACACTGGTGGAAGCCACCCCCACAATGAGCTACAGGTCAATCCTGTGCCCTGCCCCACCGCAGCTCGCCCCAACCAGGCAGCGCCTGCTCCTGCCCCTCTTTCACAGCAGGGGGGAGGTTGATCTGCTCCCTCGCCACTCCTCTTCCCTCCCTTATCCCCTTCCACCACAACAGACTTACCAGCTGGAGGCAACTCTCGACGCTGTACTGGAAATCGGATCGGTATTGGCCAATATGCCTCCTTAAAAATCAGATATTAGTATTGACCCTCAGAATCTCTATCAGTGCACCCCATTTTAAAAGCCCACTTGGGCAACACATCCAGTTAGAAGGAGATCCCATGTAGGTGACCCAGTAGTTGTGCTTCTGCAGAGCCCAAGGACTCCATAGCACAAGAGGTTTTATTCCATCAAGTCTCTGGAAACACATGAAACTTTCAGGTACTTGTGCATTTCAATTAATGGTTCAGATATCTTAGGTTTGACCCTGCAATTCATGAATATGGTTTTAAAAAATGCTGTTTTATCTGTTATGTGATGTATCATTTAATTTCTACTTTTTTCACCTTAGGACCAAAGCTTCGGTTTGGCCTCTAATATTTTTCTTGCTATGCCTTCTCTTTCATGCAGTGATAATGTATCCATTAGTGCTTGCCCTGCTGTCCTTCGGAGAAGAATGATGGGGCAGGAAGGAAAGATATGTAGGTGCAGTAATCATCAGATGCCATGTGTGTCAGACCTGGAGTACGATCATCTTATTAACAACCAGATGTCTTCCCAGGAACAAATCTTAGTGGTCTGTATATCTTCTTCATTGCAAACAAATGAGGATCCTAGTGAAGACGAATTAGAGCAGCTATATGATAAAAAGAACAGGAACAGAAGTATGCCTTGTGTTCAGGTGGGTTTCATTTGGACTTGTACATATACATAGGGCACATCCAGACAAGTGTGCATGTGCCATTCACAGCACCACAGGCCTGTCTATGGCACTGCAAATTGCACACACCATACATGCAGACATTTGCTGTGCTGCTAATTTGCAGCACAGTGGGGGGGATTTGACACTGGGAGATCCTGGTGTCAAAAAACAGCATCAGAAATGTGGCATGGCACATGTGTCAGCAGCATGCACTGCTCAAAATCAGAGCCTGGCTGGCTAGAGCCAGGCCAGGCTCTGTGCACCTGGATCACTACTGCTGGAGCCCTGGGAGGCCACCAGGACTCCAGGTAAGGCTGCTGGAGCCAGCCCAAGTGAGGGCCCCAGCCAACCCTACCCCACCCAGGGCAATTTGCTACGCATCAGAGCGCATGTGCAGGGGCATTTCCCGAGGGCAGCTACCATATCTGTGCCACTGCTAGTTGTCCTCAGGGAATGCACTTTCCCGCTCATCTGGACATGCGCACAGTGTAACACATGGCTGAAGGTTTTAGAAGATAGCAGTTGGACCTTTCTGTTTGTTTAACGTGTCAACAAAATCTTCAGCTTTTTGTTAAAGCGACCCTGGAATTTTCTAGGATCCCTAGTCCTAGGACAGCCCACATGGTGGGAGTGTCCTGGAGCTGCAGACCCTAAAAGACTGGAGTCCCCAGTAGACTACTAAATGAGCTGGCAGGAGACCTGCGTTTTGGCAGAAGTTTTTTCAGCGATAAACATTGTCTAATGAAAAGCTGTTTTGTTGAAAAATCCTAACCAGCTCACGAATATAGATTTTTTAATTTTTTTCTGTCATAAAACTCTGAGTAATGAATCAATACAGGACTTTCTCTTCATGTATTTGGGGTCAAGCTTAAAGGCATACTGTAAAATAGGTTTTGCAAAGTGGATCTGACCAGCCTATACCAGTGAAATCTTTAAGCAAAGGCACTAGAAAACATGAGGCTCAGGGCTTTCTGGTTCCATTAAAAAAAAAAACAGGCAGAAGGAAGCTAAAAAAAGTTGGAGGGGGTACACTGAAGAGTGGCTTCTTTAACTAATACTCTCCTACTCTTGCTTTTACCGATTGATCAGTTGATTTGATTTTTCAGTCCCTGGGATCTTGTCTGAACATTCCCAATAATACTAGCAATAATGGGAACACTTGTATAGACCTGACTCAGGTGTTGTAACAATCTATTATCTAGACTCAGACCATAGTTACTTGCAGTCTTACAGAAAATCAGAAATTGGCCCCATAGTTTGTATCTATCCTAATTTATAATTGGAAATGTTAATATACAAGGGATGAAATCCTGGCATTGGTGAGATCAATGGGAAAACTCCATTTGGTTCTGTCTGGGGTCATAATTTTCATTCAAGAAGTCTAAAGCAGAGGTTAGATCAATACATGTTAATAGCTATACTTTGCCAAGAGAAGTCAAACTGACACAGCTCTTAAGTATTTAGTCACAGCTTCATGGCAATGGAAGTGGTGTCAGAGGAGGTGATCGTGAATATGCATGTGTTGACTTGTGCATATGGCTATTCTCTGCTCTGGGATCTTGTGCTCAAATCCTATGAGGATCATAGGATCCTAAACCTACATTGATGTTTGCCTACCTCACAGTCCAGGCTGCTAGTCAGAGAAGGATGTGACAAAACTTTCACAGTGCCTGGCTGCCATTGGTTCTTTCATAAGTGCTGGATTAAAGGTTAAAGTTACAGGCTTAGTGCCACGAAGAAACCCACAAGGAGAAATCCGATACCTAGGAACCCCATTGCCAAAGTTTTTGTGCTCAGACAACAGCCTTTCCCAGTTGCAAAGAAGATCATTCAGTTCAGTTCATCCTTGCTTATTCAGAGGGAATATTAGGCCCTCTCAATTGATATAAGATTTATAGCTGATGTTTTGCTTAACTGCACTTCCTATGTTGCTTCAGGGTCGTCTGGACTCCTTCCGCCTCCTTAAATATGACATCACCACTGCAGATGAATTTACAGGTCATAAAGGCTCATTATTGGTACAAAGGCATAATGTTGCTCCTGGCATGTTTTTGGTATGTTACAGCTATTACTATTTTCTATAGGTACAGCCAAATATTTTGTGTTTAATGATATTACTACTGTATTATAACAAAACTATGACCTCACAGTTGCTATCAGGCTGTAAATTGTGTCTGTTCACGCTTTTTGCGTAGTAGAAGGAATAGAATTCTAATTTTTTTTCTCTCCAGAAGATAGGTCTATTGCCCCATGAGCCTCAACTCTCCTTTAGCTTCACCTCTTTTAATAGTGTCCCCTCCGTTCTTTCCCCTTTTCCTATTTAAATTACCTTATTCCTTTCTATTTAGTACCCCTGCTCTCTGCAAGTCCATTCATAACATTTGATGAAGAAGACGAGTGGTTTTCAACCTGTGGTCCACAGGCCTCTGGGGTCTGCAGACTATGTCTAAGGGGCCCATGAAAGATGACTATGACCAATCAAAACTATGTGAATACCCATACTTACAATTCAAAAGGGTCTGCACCTCCATTCAAAATTTCAAAGGTGTCTACTCTGTACCTCCATTCAAGATTTTTTAGGGGTCCACAAATGAAAAAAAGCTGAAAACCACTGAAGTAGACCATAGCCTACAAAAGTTTATGCCCCCTGAATGAGTTAATTTGCAAGGTGCCACACTGCCCCGTCTTCTCTAGCTGTTAGCAATGAAGGGTTTATGGAATCAATTGAACCAATATAATTGTGGCCAGCAGAGTGCTGTACATTAGACCTGTGCGAAGCAGCTAGTAGCTGCTTCGGATTTGGCCAATTTGGAGGACAGTGATTCGATTCAGTGATTCGAATCACTGTCCCAAATTGATTTGGCCAAATCTGATTCAGATATTTGGCTGCCGCCAAATTGGCTGAATCTCCAAATTCAACAGGCCCATTCCCCCACCCACTCTCCTAGCCCCTTCAATGGCTGCCTTGGCTGGCCCCAGCATCCCAGAACTTTAAAAAAAAGCCCCAATCACTGGCTTCTGCCAGGCAGGGGGGCAATCCCCGCTTCCTCCCATTGCCTCACACTGCATTGGGGGGAGGCTTTGCCATGAGTCCTCAGAGGCCCTGACGGCTGCTGCAGCAGCTGGTGAGTGTGGGGCTTTTTTTTTTTTTTTTTAAAGGGCCGGGGTGCTGGGGCGGGGCGGGGGAGCCATTGTTGGGGCGGGGGGGGGGGGGGGGGTTTTTTTTTTTTTTTTTAAAGAGCCGGGATGCTGGGGCTGGGCAGGGCAGCCATTGATGGGGCTGGGAGAGCGGGTGGGGGATGGGGGATCATGGCAGAGCCCTCCCCCAACACAGCACGGGGCAGCGAGGGGCAACAGCGATTTCCCCCCCCCCACCTGGGAGGAGCCGATGAGTGCGGGGATTTTTTTTATTTTTTATTTTTAAGTGCCGGGATGTGGGGGCTAGGCAGGGCAGCTATTGATGGGGCTGGAAGAGCAGGAAGGGGTTGGGGAGTGCTCAGGGGAGCTGGGGGAGCAGGCCAGGATGGGGCCTGGCGGGGTCCCCCCCATGGTCCCCTTTCCCCTCGTACAGCACCCCCCGTCCCCTACTTACCAGCACAGAGTGTGGGTCCAGCTCCCTGTGATGGTGAGCAGGGACTGCCTGAATCCCCAAATCTCCTCCGAATTGATTCGGAGGCTTCAGATCAATTCAGACCTTTTTATTGGTCTCCCAGTTTGATTCAGATTCAGAGATTCGGCTTCTGAATCCAGCCAAATCTCCTCCAAAACAAATCAGCAACTGAATCTTTGCACAGCCCTACTGCACATGTGCCATTAGCCAGGTCATTAGACTATGAACAATGTTTCTTAGTTTCAACTTCAGCCTTTAGCTTTTACCATGTTTAAATGTTTTCATAGCATTCTGTTTAATTTGTTACAAATAAGTTCTGAGGAATACTGGAAAACAGGGTGTCTTAGTCTTTAACAAAGGGAAAAAGCATGATGTTTCCAACATACTGAAGTGAACTTTTGCAAATAGGAAAGAGTTTAAATCAGACATGTCACTATGGATTAAATGTCCATTAAGTTAATACAATGCAGTATCTGGTGTGGAAGCATAGGAACTCCAGGAACTAATCCTTTCATAGTTGGATGATTTGTTCCATGAAAGATTTGACCGTAAAAGTGTGTTGCATGTTTACACTCTGCTATAGTTGTAAACACTGAGAAAATGACTTGATTCATCAGCCCTTGCTCACAGGAGTAATTCCGCATAATACTAAGCTCACAACGAGTACTATTTAAGTGCACATCATAAAATCACATTGCAGTCAGAGTTAATTCTTGAATCACCATGTAAACATCACTATGAATGTTATTTTTCTTTAGCTATTTATTACTTTCTCCCAACAACAACAAAGATTTCACTAATTACATTATGAGAGGCAAAATGCTTTTATTTTGGGTACCAATGTACCATTCTTTAGGTCTCTAAGAAGGCTTTTCTCTTAGAGAATTGATAAATGGTACAGTGGTAGCCCAAAACTTGCCTATGTCCCTCCCAAACTATACAGTTGGTCCAATAAAAGATATCATCAAGCACAAGAATCCTTGCCTTTTGTATTTTTCCTGGACCATCATGGCTGCAATGTTACCACAACACTGCCATTAATTACTTTGTGGTTATTTCCTGTAAACTTAATAGCAATAGAAAGCAACAATAATTTTCTGCATTTGCTCAGTGTGAGTTTTTAGCATGTCATAGCTCTCAGAACAGAAGAACTTCCAAGAATTCTTCAATCCTGGGAACAGTAACAGTAAACTATTTCCATCACCGAGGAGCTAATTATTCTATTTAAAATGAAAGGCAAATAAAAAGCATTTCATAGCTATGATCAATTTGCCCATCCACTAAATTGACACTCTCAGCCTAAACAAAAGTTACTTAGCTATATCTAAAAATGAAAAAATGGATTGGAAGAAGTTAAAATATTTAAAGTATTTCTCTACAAGGTGTTGCTAAATAAAGCATTACATTTCCGCCTTGATGGAAATGGAAGCTTTTCTGATTAACAATTTGACTAAACTAATCTTCATTTGTAGAGCTGTTGGAAACGAGTGAAAAAAATGAGGTGCGTGACCGTCTCTTGATGACTGGAGAAAGTGGCAGAACTAGTTAACACCAGTGTGTAGCTCACTGGACTCTGATACCTCCATACCAATGGAAAAACATTTATAATAAAAGATCTCAGTATTGATAAACCAGCAGTTTATGCTGCTGATGACAGGATGGAGATGCTATTCCTAACATGCTAGTCAGCTCTGCAGGAATATTTTTGATGTGTTCCATGTGATTGTTGTTCCATTACCAGATGGAAGGGGCTTACTGAATATAAAGAAGTAAGAACAATGCAAAACTTTACAGTTTAAAATATCCAAAGGTTTAAAACAGATCATGAGCCTACCTAATATTAGCACACTCATTTAGAAACGATATGCAATGAATACAGAACACTAATCAATCTAACACAATAAGCTTTCCCCTTATTCATTGCTTGAAAGATGCACCACCAATATAAGTTCAGTCTGTAGCCAGGTCTGCAGATAGAGTGATAAAGATCAAAGAGGTCAAAGGAACTGAAATCTAACCGGGATCAATCTGTCAGCATGATCTTGATTACTCTTCTTAGAGACTAGATGGTAATTGGCAAGGGTGTTAATACGCAGAGATTTTTTTAAAGCAAGAGGCTAACCACTAGGCCTGTGCAAAGCGACTAGTATTCGCTTCAGATTCGGCCAATCAGGGGAGTGATTCAGTTCAGTGATTTGAATCACTGTCCCAAATTGATTTGGCCTAATCTGATTATGTGATTTGGCTGCTGCTAAATCTCTGAATCTACGGATCAGCCAGGCCAGGCTCCAAATCCCCCCCAGCCTGGCAATGGTTGCCCTACCCATCCCAGCTCCCGGCACTTAAAAAAAAAAAAAAAAAAAAAAAAAAAGCCCCGACTCAGCGGATGCTGCCAGGTGAGGGGTGATGCCTGCTGCCCCCCACTGCATGGTCCCCTCCCCCCCCGTCCCTAGTACTTACCAACTCAGAGTGGCTGCAGCCACCAGGGACTGCCCAAATCATCAAATCTCTCTGAATCTTTTCTGAAGATTTGGAGAGCTTTGAATCAATTCGGACCTTTAAATTGGTCCCCTGATTCAATTCGGATTTGGAGATTCAGCCACTGAATTGGGCCGAATCTCCTCTGAATAGAATCACCGCGTGAAGCTTCGCACAGCCCTACTAACCATGACATATTAAAGTACAGCTTGCAGTTTGCCTTATTGAATGCAGGCATTAATAGTCCTTTTCAATAAAAGTTCCAGTTGCTTCCCTCTGGCAAAAAAAAATCATCTGCAGAAGAGAAGAATCCATTTCACACCTGACTGATGGCAACCACCAAAGCATACCCCAAACCTGTCAAATTAAACTGGACAAAAAACAACCCGCCAGATGGTAGCTTCATTGCTATTCCCATGGAAGCACTCAAACCAGCCTTATTCAATTGATCTCTTCAAATAAGTTAATGATTCCTCATGGCAAGAACCACTCTGTGGTTATTAAGCTCAGTCAGTGCAAGTTAATCTACCAAAAAGGCTAACAACAATTTAGAACATTTTCAATGGCATGGCCAGGAAGCAGAACACTTAACTGCAGCCATTTCACTATATGTTTTACTTCCAGTTGTTCCTGGTCTAATGAAAGTTTCTAAAACTGCTTAAATCCTCCTCTGCCTTTCCTCTGCAGTATGATGACTTGCAAAGATGAGTGTGGAGGGAAGATGCTTCATGACTGAGCCACCATATCTGTGGTAATAGGCAGCAGAGGGCCATAAGGTTTTTAGGTAGTTAAGTCCTCAAAGTACATGGCCATGGTACATAGCCATGGCAACACACTACAGCGACATAGCATCTGTGGGGAAAAGCTGTGATGTCACACCTACATTGCCATAGCAATGTGCTCCTTCAGTATAGCGAAAAATAACTGTGTGGCACGCATGACGCAGTATGGGGCTGTTATTGTGGA